CTCGTACTAAAGTGAGTTATCGTCTTTAGCTTCGCTAGCCGCAGTGCTTCGTGAAATATTGCGGCCGACTTAAAAGCTCAAGAGTTGTGTGTTAATTTGTATATAATATTTTAATTAGACTTAGAAATTTTCTTTGAAAATCTTGGAGACAACTGAGACTATGTTTTGTTATATTTTAAAGTCTTATATAACCGTCAGGCTGACATATTCATAAAAAAGATGCTAATTTAAGCTGTTATTATAGTTTGTATTTAGTGTACTCAAATGTTAGACCCGGCATTATTTTTCTGTTTGTCTTTATGATTCTAGGAGTTGGTATTTAAAATAATGTGAAACTGTGCAAATTGCATTATAGAAGCAGAAGTGTGGATTATTGTAATTAAATAGTTTGTCACTTCTATAATCAATTATGTGAATACAATATAAAATTACAAACTTCACTGCAAAAGCGGCGAGTGGTATACAATGATTAGATACTAGATTGATGTATTTTTAAATCTGAAGCATCTGAATCTGAATCTGAATTCTTCTGTGACATCATTAGCCAATGAAATTGCGAGATAAAATCCTAATGTCTGATTTTAAAGGTAGGCATGGGTAGGGAATACCAAATTTAATATTTTATTCTTTTCTTCTAATTTTATGTTTGTAAAACTTAGTAATGAGAAAATACACAAATTTTAGACACTTTCAATATTATAGAAACATTTAGATGTCTTCGATGAAAACTGTGGTAAGGGACACATATCTCTCTAAGTCCTGCGGAAATTTAACCCTGAATATATAAGTCAGAATGGCAAACTGTGTAACCGAAAAAACTGTAACTTTCATAAACGCAGTATTATATTAATATGAAATGATGAGCTATCGTATTTGTACAATTTCGTGAATTATGCTTATTTCCTAGTACTTTGTTAATTATTATTATTATTTTTAACTTTAAGTTAGATTTTTAAGACTAAATATATTAAATATTAAATATAGTGTCTTAAAAAGATATAGAAGCAAACATATTGGTAAAAGATTAAATATATAAAATTTTTAATATACAGTAAATGAAAAACGTAGTACTTTCCTAGATGCAAGCAGATATCATCACGTCGGAAATTTGTAAGAGCTTTATTTTAATTAGATTTTTAATAATTAATAACTCAATACCTCAGTGCTGTATTAGATAGAAATAAAAATCAATAACTACGTTATAAGGTAGTTCTATCGCCTTCTTAGCATGCCTTCTTGGTGTTGAGGTCAACACGCTTGACGCGAATTCGAGAAGTACGTGGTTCGATTCCCGGCGAGGGCATTGCTCATTTTCATCTCTCATGCTTTCAAAATAACCTAATGTCTTTACAGTAGCGCCCAAACAGGGACTCGAACCATGAACCTCTGGAATTCGTGTCGAGCGTGCTGACCACTACACAACGAAGGCATGCTAAGAAGGCAGGAGAAATACCTTATATACTCCCCCCTTGTAAAGGGCGACTAGGGTTTCAAGGGACCCAATCGACAAATCCTGGTGGTGAAGAATCATCATTCACCACTTCTTAGTTCGGGCGCCACTGTAGATATATTAGGTTATTTCGAAGGAAGAGACATGAAAAATGAGCAATGCCAGTCGCCGGGCCTCGAACCACGGACCTCTCGAATATGTGTTGGGCGTGCCGACCATGACACCACGAAGGCATGCGAAGAAGGTGGGAGAAATACCATATAAAATATGAGATATTATTTTTAAACTGAGTTCGATTTTATATACTTAGTAAATTAAAACTTTAATAGAATATATTTTCTTAAATGGCAAAAAGATCATCATTCAGTAAAACTAAAACAATTTTAAATTTAGATTTGTGAATGGAGTAGATGAAGGCCAATTAAACGCCTAGCGTTAAAGCTGCTGAACACTGTTAATTTGATAAGGATTTGAATCCCAGTTAACGGAATAGCTGCATGGGAGATTTCGTGATTTTCCTATGTGTAAGGTGGATACGAGTCAATTTTCCTGAAAACGTTCTGCTCATATGCAGAAGACTTCGCTTAAGTAGACATATGAAGACTTCGCTTCTCACATGCACACAGTCCTATAGTTGCTTCGCATTAATAAATTATCCTGACCTTACCCAACCTTAATAAATGAAAACTGCGATCCTTTCTTAGATGGAAGTAGAAATCATTGCGTAGGCAAACAGTGAGATATTCCTTTAAAACTTTCAGTTAGGATTTTAATATTTATTAAATTTAAAGGGGAATACATTCCTAGATAACAGTTATCATATAAATAAACTATAAGAGATTCTCTAAATTTTTTAATTCGATTTTTATAAATCTTTGAATACGATTTTTTTTCGATATTCGAATTCGCTTTTTTTTCGATAAAGGAAAAAAACAATATACTTTCCCATATAAAAGTAGAAAACGCCATGTAAATAAACTGTAAAAGTTTCTTCTAAGACTTTGAGTTAAAATTTTAAGATTAGTAAATAGAAAACTCATTACATTCCTAGATGGAAATAGAAATTGTCATGCAAATAAACTATACGGGATTATTTTAAATTTTCTGCCTCGATTTTATTACTTAGAAAATGAAAATCTCAGCACTTTTCTTAGTAATAATATAAATTGATAAATGAATATTCCTTATTAATATTCTTAGTTCAAATTTTAATATTTAGGAATAGGAAAATTTAATACACTCCTAAGCAGGACAAGAAAACTATTATGTAAGTAAATTATAAGATACATTTTGCTTTAATTTTTAATCCGGCGTTCAATGTTTAGCATATGTATAATGCAATATTCTCATAGTTAGTATTTAGAAATCATCATGTAAGCAAATTACAAGAGATTCTTTTAAAATTTGAGTTAGATTTTTAATATTTCGTAAATGAATAACTTAATGCTTTACATAATAGAAATAGAAATCATCACGTAAGTCAAACTATAAAAGTTTATTTCAAAATTTTCAGTTCAATTTTCTACACTTAGTAAATGAAATCCTCAACACTTTCCAAAATAATATTAGAAATCCTCAAAAGCAAATTATTAGGAATTCTTTTTAAATTTGAATTATAATTTTACTATTTCGTAAATGAATAACTCTACTTTATACAATAGAAATAGAAATCATCATGTATATAAAACTATAATAGATTGCAGTACATAATATTTATCCATGCAAGAGGAAATCAATCAATAAAATAATACCACTTTCCTTATTCTTCGCGGAAGATTTAGGTAAAACATGTAGTAACACATTCCCACACGTAGATGAATGTATCGATTAGACAATCACAGCACATACGCCCTGACATGGGCTAGTATTACAAACAATCAATTATGGATCAATTTCTAGATCAATATACTTCATCGACCTTAGCAAGAAATATCATACCTAATGTCCAAAAAGTGGATGTTGGATGTGTGACGGTGTAGATTGAATGCAATCCAATCATTATGTAAGTACATCAGTGCTCGGAGTAATATCGGATCTAAGTCGCCTTAGTTATAAATAGTGTAGGTGTATTATTGTAGAGTATGCTACATTTCACTGAAAGATTATTTTATAATGCAATGGGTAATTTTTATGAATATTCTTGAAGTCTGTGAAAGAATAAGGATTTCATTTATCCGGCAATAAGTATTATAACTGCAAAACGAAAATCCTATTTCTCCTTTTTTTTTAAATTATGTTTAAAATCAATAATTCTTTGTTATTATTGAGCTATCGGATTGACATGAATCGAAAGCTGGTTATGTTACTATTTCTTTTAATATTTTGAGATTTTACTAGTCAGTTTTATGACAAAACGCTGACACGTTCAATAATCCAGCACACTTGAAACTTCTACAATTCCTGATTATCAAATGCGCCGGATTATGAGAGGTTATGATGTCATCGAAACGTTTTCATCAATACTATTTAGCTTATTATAAAATTGAAAGAATTTAAATATAATTATATTTTCATTAATCTTAAAAATGTGTTTAATGGTTACAAACCTGGTAGAAAATACATTATGTGCGTAATTATGTTTTCATCTACAGAATACATCAAGGCAGTTGGTTATATTTATTGATGCCATAGCGCAGAAGAATAATTTAATGCTAACTCAAAGGACAGAAGAATTTAACCATGCAGTTGGTCAAGAGAGAAGGATCTTTAGTGGGAAGTCCAATTGAGTCCTTAGACCTAAGGAATCCCAACAGAGAATACCGAAATACATTACTATGTAGCTACCTCGGACGGCACACAAATCATGTGTTCGATACTGGAATTTTGTTGCATTGCATTAAAAAATATCTCATGACTTTTCAACTAAAATAGCATCATGAAATCTTAAATAAAAGTACATAAATTTATAAAATGCATAGACTTCTTTGACATTATATGTTGCAAAATCATTTGTATGAACAAGATAAAGCATACCGTAAATCACCCCAAACGTAAATCACCAAAAGTTTATTTTTGACCACCTATGTAAACCATTTTATTATTCGCTACAGATTTTCTAATTATTTCGTAAGATATGTTTTTGTTCCAGATTTTTCTAACTATTCTGTAAAATATTTTTACTACGAAAAGGATAATAACTATATAAAAAAGGATTTTTAAAAGCATTCTTAACACTGAAAACAAACATTGTTTAAAAAAATTATTGTGCTAGATGAAAACATGTGCTTCACACTATAAGAAAAAATTTATATTAGAAGGAAACAATACTAATTTGAAGAAACACACTACCAAAAACTTGAAGATACTTGTGGAATTAATTGCAAATAAGCTTTGATGAAGGAAAAGGTACTTAAAAAGCAACAAAATATGCACGTAATCAGAAGTTTGTTCAATAATACTAAAATTTCTTAACCAATATTTACACGGTAGAAAAAGATCTCACGATTAATTAACGGACCATAAGTTATCATTGCCCATCATCGGTTTAAATTACTTAAATATTTACGCATATGTTTTATAGCAATGCTCACTGAAAGATTTGTGCTTGTAGAAAAAGAACAAGAAGTAGAAATAGATGTCAAAGAAGCGGGAGATAAGCAACAGGAATCGGCATAATGTGAGTATATTTCCAGGACTACAATTTAGAAATATAAATATAAAATTCCTTTTCAGTCTCAAAAATGAAATTGAAAGAAAAAGAAACATGTGCTAACTTGAAAATGGCAAAACTTCGAGAATTTCCTAATTAGATTTTGCCATATACCATATTTCTTCACGGATTTCCTCCATTTTTTAACTAATTTTTTCGTCCGAAGTGCGAAACGGGAAAATTATGCAAGTAATTTAATTTCCGAAGAACGCGGTCATGATAATGGAATCATGGATAAACTACTGATTAATATCACAGTATTATTTTTAAATGAAAACTATATTAAAAAGAATGCTTAGTAATATCAACTTTACAGTATCTTACAGATATTTAGCCAATATCCGGCAGTAAATCACACGAGCGGGACGCTTTCAGATGAATTACTTTGTAAAGCTGCAAGGAAACCTCACATGAATGAGTCTTGACTACAGTTACCAAGAGAGACATCGAAGGAAAGAGAGAGAAAAGGGATGAACAGAAGACCTGGATTTCAAAAGATCGAACACCTCAGCAGCAGATAAACACTGAGCTAGGAACAGGGAGATGCGTAAGAGCTGGAACGTAAATAGTAGAAGTAAGCTGAAACCCACGTTCGGAAAGTTTCTTAAGAAGGAGGACACATGCCTCGTCCAGATAACTTAACGAAGAATCTGAAGGAAATACGTTTCAGATAATACGAGTAAATGCAAGGGAAAATAAAATAGACAAATTGCTAACACAAAAAACGCAAATAAAATTTACGTACGCTAGACAAAGGTAAAAATAATCAAGGAAATATAGTTTATCATTAAATAAGACATTATGTACAACAGGAAAAGGGGAAAACTATGCGAATATTTTTTTAAATTTTCAGAATCTAGGGTTAAAAAGGCAGGGTGTTGGAATTACGCGTGGAAACACAATATTGACTGAAAACTTAATGAAATGCAAATAATAAATGCATTCTTAAAAATCTGACGGTATTGAGGGATTGGAACTGGGAACACTGACCTGAACCGTTATATATCTCAAACATCTGCAACAAATGTAACTTGCTAATGGAAAACAAGTTTTGAAGACTTTTGGCTTCAGAGAAACAGAAATGGGAGTTTTGGACCTACAGTATTGGGAAGATGGAGTTTATAATCTTTTTTTTCCTTCGAATAAAGTCTCGTGCTCTTTAGTTTGAAATGTTAAGACCTTATTTAGTTAATGTATATTAAGTCGCAGATACCAATTTTATCCGTAGAACTTACCGTAGAATCCGTAGAATTTTATCCGTAGAATACTACCAATTTTATCCGTAGAACTAAAAGCAACTCTAAATTTTATGTTTCTTGAACATTTATATTTATATATACTGAATATTTAGTTTCAATACACAAAATATTTATTTTCTTCAAGGAATTATATCTTACGGATTGATAATCGTGTTCAAATACGTCACTTCTTTTATTAAGTTGGTTAACATACTTCTAAAAGTTCTTTTATTTAAGAAATTTTCTGTACAACACTGTTAACCATTCAAATACTTTGGGAGTGCCTATTTTTAATACTAAATTTAATAACATAAATCAAAAGAAGTATGGTGACTTCCTTTAGAGTTTAAAACTTATGTATAATATACAACCTGCTCTAAAACACAGAAATAATTTTTAGTGCTTTGGTTGAGTATCAAAAAAAGGGTGTATAACAAAGCACAAAATAGTTGTAATTTACCAGATGCATAACGTATATAAGTTTTTTGTAAAATCTGACAGCCGATGCAAAGAAACTCAAGTATAAACTTCGTCGAGACATCTTATAATAACTTGGAGTATTATAGTCACTGATTTTCGTGGATTTATAAAACTTCGAAAGAAATCTGCCCAAATCCGGTATTTATATAAAATTTTCTGAAAGAGTATCAGTATTTAAAGGAACTTGTTTAATGATATCGTGATAAAATTTACAGTTATTTTATTGTAAATTTTATCTGGTATTTTGAACAAAATTTCAATTTTGTGTACTCTGAAGACTAAGTATTGATGCGTATAAAAATAAAACTACTGGAAGTCATTAATATGCAAATTGTTCTGATTGCCGAACCCTAATTGGCGTTTCCATATTTGGCGTAGTAGAAGTTATTCTCATAAGCACGATTAACAGATTTCGCTTTACTTAATTAATTACACTCTTTCGACAAAAGAGATTAAACTACACTTAACTGTGATACTTCTAAGCATAAGTTGGAAAAGTTTGGGATGCCGGGGAAAGTTCCGTAATGGTTCTGAATACGAAAATAGTTCTAAGCAGCAAGTAACGATTATTTTTGTTAGCTATTATTTGTACTTTATACGAAAAATGCATTATTTGATGCAACAAAGGAAACTCTTTCAGTGCTTAACTACTCTATTGTTGTGAATGTCACATAATTATTATGCAAAGTAGTGCAAAATTAAACGTGTCACATGCGGTTAAAATAATTAATTTTATTAACATTAAGCGATCTGTTTGAGTTTTTTAATAATATGAATCTTGATCTTAAATTCCTTGAACCATGATTTAGGAAAGATACTTTGCATAGTATAAGTCAATATATTAAAAATTTGTTTTGGAAAATAATAATCATAGATGCACTACATTGGTAAGAGCACCACATCATGCACTTAAGCAATTCGTAGAAATATTTAACTACTGATAGAACTGAAAAACCTCAACTGTGTCTTCGAATTAATATTGTTTCAAAAATTTTAAAATGAACTTGTCCCTAGTTTTGAAGGAGGAAATGCTTTAAGACACCTATCTTTATTAATTTCCACATCTAAAGGTAATTTCTAATAGGATAAATAAAGACCGTACTTGCTGGAAACTATGCGAGGCACAAAATCCTTGAAATTACATATAATTTTCTTCATAGGTGTTAATAAATCAAAGAGAAAATTTCAGTTTATTTGATTATGGTGGAGCATACAAGTGCTAATAGCCTAAGAGAAGAGATGCTTTCGGGAAGATCTTTTTCTCATTTCAACGTTACACATGGGGAAAACCACGAACAATGCCTTGCCGCCCGACTACGCAAAGAATATAAACACATTCCGCCCCTTGAAACGGCGAATGCTAACCAGATGGCTTTTACAGACACTGTAAATGCTGAAGTTATTGCTGACAGCCTTGCTACCCAATTCAGTCCAAATAACGACGCCTACTGTAACCGTCCGGTTACACAGAGGCGCATACACTCACGTGTTAAACGTTTCTTAACACAACTCATTACGCCTGATCTCAGGCTGACTGATCCAAATGAAGTGCTGGAGTTCATCGATAAAATGAAACTGAAGAACGCCCCTGGCATAGATCAAATTTCGAATCGCATGGTTAAAAACTTCTCCGTTCCCTTCTTAAAAGGGCTCTAGTGCAAGGATTACTTAATTTAAATTTAATCTCATCTCTGTAAGAGAACGTAATGCTTTTTCATTAGTTATCATAACACTTAAAGTTAATGCAATCTTATTATATTTATAAAAGTTTCTCCTCAGGGGCATTGCTGGTCGTGTCTCTTTAATTCAAACTCGCCTAACGAGTTCCCGCTTTTTCCCTCCCCCAGACCCGAAGCACTTGCGATATGTAGCTTTTCGCGAGTGTTTCCGCTCTCGTGTTGTTAACACCACATGACCATTGATCAACGAAACATAGATGCTTTTCAAATTTATGATGTAACCCCTCCAAATTGATTCTGGCCCTTATTCGACACCAAAATTACTAAATTAAGTCCTTCAGTGTTTTTACCTTTTTTTCACTGTGGAAAGCAGTTACTCTTTTTGTTAAATTAACATTTTGGCACTAAATTTACCTCTTTGGGGAACCCTCTTTTTGGCGATAAAGATAATTCTTTGACGATGTGGGGATAAAGGGTACATGCCTAAGAGCCCCGTAATAGAACCTTTCCTTGGTCCTTGGTCCGAAAAATGCCCTATGCAGGCAGCCCATTTGCTGAGATTTGACCCTGCTCGACCTACCAGCATTTAACAATTTTACCGCTCAGCCACTGATTAACTTCCTCAAAAAGAAAGACAAAAAAAATATGCTGCTTTCTTAATACTTAACTATCTGAACATGAAGTACGGTTCCAAGGCATTTCTCTGTTTAAAAGTTTGTTTAATAATTTAAGATAGCAAATAATTACATTTTATGCGTCAAAAAATATTGCACTGCTAAGAACCTCCTGAAAGACTGGTCCTGGTTCCATTATAGGAAATGAATTAAATAAAGTTTGAATTTAGCTTATTAAATCTTTGTTAGAATTTGTTCACGTTGCTTATTAAATTAACTTTGAGTAAACGTATTCGAAATTAAATTTTATACCTGCTTTCTAAGAAATACATGCAACTTGTTGCTCATGCAGTTTATCAATTGCTATTGCTAAACTTGTAGAGTCATTAGGTTGATTGGAAGCAGAAAAGATGAAAAATGTGCAACCGCCATCGCAGGGAATCGAACCACGGACCTCTGGAATACCGGCCCAGCGTGCTACCGTTACACCACGAAGGAACGCTAGGGAAGTGGGAGAAATACCTTATAAACTTTATTTGAAATTATTTTTCTTTTTTCCTATTTCATCACTTTATAGCAAGTTGTCTATAAACTGCAGATTTTTTCTAAAAAGTGTAGCAACAATAAATTGAACAAAAAATTGCGAAACGCGTATGACTTACACAACTTTTGTAAAAAAAATACAAATATTACTTAATTTCTAATTTTTTCATTAAGACAAAGCTTCTAATTTTAATCTTTCTATAAATAATAGTTTGAAAACAGCGTTTTAAATTGTTATATTTCAAAGTAGTACATTTTAAAACTTTTCAGCTAATTAAAAGCTCCTAGAAATGGTCGTTGAAAATCCAACAAACCTGGTTTCATTAACATCAAATTTTTTTAAATTTATTTATGAGATGAGTAATTTTTAGCATGTAAGAATCCTCTTTCAAATGTATTTAAATTAGAGAAAA